GTATGTGTCGTGACCATTGAAGATTCAGTAGCCATTGATATTAAGTAGCATGCCAATGACGATAAGTTCAAGGTGGCGGGAGATCTTTTATACTTTGAGGAACGGTTGTATATCCCAAAAGGACTAGTACGACTCCAAGTTCTTCAATCTTGCCATGATTTTCCAACTACGGGACATTTTGGATTCAACAAGTCTTTGGAGCTTATTTCTCGAGATTTTTGGTGGCTCCAAATGTAGAAGGATGTGAAAGATTTTGTCCTCTCCTGCGATATCTGTTCAAGATCCAAGAATCCTCGACATTGCCCTTATGGACTCCTACAGCCATTGCCAATTCCACGTCGACCATGGTCTTCAATTTCCATGGACTTCATCATGGACCTGCCATCATCGAACTCATTTGACAACATCTTCGTCACGGTAGATCGGCTTACAAAGATGGCACACTTTGTGCCTTGCAAGAAGACATCATCCAGTGAAGTCACAGCAAGGCTCTTTCTCGATAATGTGTATCGATATCATGAACTACCAAATGATATCGTATCAGATCGAGGATCCCAGTTCATATCAAAGTTTTGGAGATCTCTCTTTGAGATACTGAAGGTGGATATCAAGCTTTCTTCGACTTTTCATCCTCAAACTGACTGCTAAACGGAACGGGTGAACCAAGTCTTGGAACAATATTTACGATGCAGCATCAACTATCAGCAAGACGATTGAACCACATATCTGTCGCTAGCCGAGTTTACATATAACAACACCCTCCATGCGTCGACTCAATACACACCATTCTTTTCCAACTATAGATATCATCTGAAGCTTGATTTATTGAGTCCATCAACAAATAACAATCTAGCAGTTGAAGGATTTGCGAAACAACTATCAGAGCTTCAAAATACGTTGAAGCTTCAATTACAATCCGCTCAAGAATCCTACAAGGCGTCTGCATATAGATTTCGGAATCAAGCACCTACTTTCAAAATTGGAGATAAAGCATGGCTTCTTCGATGGAATATCAAGACCAAGCGACCATGTGATAAGTTGGACTATTGAAGATTGGGACCATTTATCATCTAGAAGTAAATCAAACCAGTGGCGTACCGTTTGGAATTACTAGCTTCTATGAAGGTACATCCAGTCTTTCATGTTTCTCTGTTGGAGCCTTATCGAGAGTCGTCTTTTCTTGGAAGAGTGCAATGTCCACCACCTAGTATTGAGATCGAGAACCACGAGGAATACAAGGTTAAAAAGGTGCTGGATTCACGGCGAAGGTGGGGGCAAGTTGGAGTATCTTGTTCATTGGTGCGGCTACGACATTAATGAGCGAACGTGGGAGCCAATTGAAAATCTTGCCAATGCACCGCAAAAGGTACAGGAGTTTCATCAACAACATCCTCATAAACCTAAGCCAGTTCAACGATAGCTTCCTTCTGAAGCTTGCTCATCTAAGAATATAAGAAAGGGAGACAGCACTACCAAAATTCGCAGTTGATGTAGTTATTTTCTCCAAGATAAAGTAGAATTTTTTCAGTAGCCATAGTTTGGTCTTTTGATATAGATAGCCAAGAGATAGATACTATGCCAGTCAGATTATCTCAATCGATTAGCTCACGAAAGCGACCCCGAGATGAAGAACCGCCTACACCACGATGACGACGGAGGATATCGAGTAACCGATCATTGGTGATTGTATTCGAGTTCGAGCCTACTTACGATGGTCAGCCAGAAGGCATATTTGCAGGACAATTTTACAATGAGGACACGAAAGTTCATGCTTGGTCAGAAGTTGAAAGAGTGGGCTACTACCATTAGCTTCAAGGGCCGATGAACCACTTGCCTCGTGAACAACAGTTGGAGTTCATAGCAGACGTTATGCGACAGATCTTCATTTTCTTGCGTTGGTACTGATTAACAACAACATTGCTTCTCAGAGACCTCGAAGCTAAAAGAGGGGGTGATGTTAGGGACATAGTCCTTAGAACCTTGTAGAGACAAGTTTCTAGAACCTTCTAGAAGCAAGTCTCTGGAACCTTCTAGAAGCAAGTCTCTAGAACCTTCTAAAAGCAAGTCTCTAGAACCTTCTAGAAGCTTCTTAGTTGGTAGAAGATGTTAGGGACATAGTTCTTAGAACCTTCTAGAGATAAGTTTCTAGAATCTTGTAGAAGTAAGTCTCTGGAACTTTCTAGAAGCTTCCTAGTTGGTAGAAGTTGCTTGAGAAGCTTCCTAAATAGGAGTATATATTAGAATCGAGGCTGAAGAGTTCTTGAGTCTCGACAACACATCTCTTGGAGCTCTAGCTCACCTCTTTGGTGTTGTTCTTGTATTCATCTGATTAATCTAGTTCTTGCCAGTTCTTCTTGAACTTCTCAAGTCTGTATTTCTGTGTCCGTGACAACTTCAATCCAATAGTAAATCCTTATTTTTTGCCATATAATAGAAAATTCTTTTCACTATTTGAAGAAATTTCTTACTTTTAACCAAACCTATTTTAATTTGAAATATTTTTTTGCAAGAAAAGGCTTAGATACAAGAACTTCTTTCTTTTTTAATTACATTTAGATCAGATGAATAAGTAAGAATGTCCAAAGACACTTGCTTTAAGTTGTTTAAGTTCTTATGCTACAAAATCTATCAAAAAAATTCGGTATGTGTTCAACTAAACTTTGAGTTCTTATATTATTGTAAATCATTAGAAAAAACATGAAAAGAAGATGCAAAAAATCAAAAGGATAATAGTATTCAAATAACATTTTAATTCTTGGCTTCTTTTATTATTATTGTTATTATTATTATTATTATCATTTTCTTTTGACAAACAAAGTACTTACAATTACTTTGATTCTTATATTGCTTCTTAATACATATTCTAATTTGGATCCAAATCAACAAATTATAATATAAGAAACAATGATTCAATTAATATTGTAATACCTTTGAGCTCCAAATATTCCAATCTTTTACTAGCAAAAAAGATGTCCTTATATAACTTTGAAATGTATACTAGTATCATCTATACAACAAGATCCTTCATTATCTAAAGTTATAGAGGATTGTAAGATAAGATAGAAAAAACATAAAGAATATTATTAATTTTGGCATTAATATAGGAGTGAATTCTCTCTAAGATCTAAAATCCTTCCAATCTACAACAAAAAAAAATTCAATCACAATGTAAGACAAAGCAGACCAGAATAAAACAGAATAGAACAATGAAAGGCAAAACATAGCAAAAGAGAATAAAACAAAACAAAATAGAAATACAAATCAAACTTTACTGAAAAAAAGAGACAAAAGCCATACCTAACGAAATACTCAAATGGACTTCGTCACTCTTATTTATACTCTATCCAACCATTTTAGAACTTTCTAGAATATTTCTAATAGTGGATCCTACCAAGATAACCACCACTTCTAAAAGATTCTAAAGATGTGCTCTACCTAAATAACCGCCAAAAGCTCTTCTAGAATGTTCAATGGTAGATTAAATATGAACCACCAACCTAACCTAAATTCTAGAAACTTTCCAAAAATGGCTCCAACTACATATCTCTATGTGTCAAGAATACAAATGCTCCATTACAGGCATAATGTTTATACTTGCCTTAGCATTTTGACAATAAACAACTTACAAATAGAAGAAGCCCAAAATAGTATTTAAGATGCAATAGGCAACAAAGTAGAAGATATTAGCCAATTTATTTTTAAAAGAAAAGAAAGGAAAAAATATACAAACAAAAGAAGTATATTATTAATGACACCAATATTTATAATTAGTTTGTATTGTACTAATTGCAAAGTATCTTTAAGAAATGAGTGCTTGATTTATGATATGTATTAAAATGATTGAGAATATATATATTAATAATAGGTTATTTTAAATAATATGATATATATTATTCAAAACTATACTTAAATAATATATAGAATTTAGATCTTATATTTCAACAAATAAAAAAAAATATTGTAGCCAAAGTATCATCTACTAATTATGAATGCTTAGCAAAAAAAATACAATAGATGAAGGGATTTAGTTCTCTAGTTGATAGAAGAAATTTAATGCTTAAGTAAACAAAGACCAACAATAAAAGAAGCATAAACAGAGAAAGTGTTTTGTATTTTTGTGTATGAAGATTGTATATATTATATTATATTTTATTTTATTTTATTTTTATAATTGGTTTTAATTTTACATATAATTCATAATTATTATTTTGAAATTATTAGCTAAATTCGAGAGAATTGTTATTTGATATAGACTTGTTTGGCACTTTTGTGAGTGGTTCACTATTCACAAAATCAATATCATAATATACTAATAAATAACTCATATTTTTCATTCATGTTACAATACATAATAAATTCTTCATATATAATCCAATTTTATAAATATAATTTCATTTCACATGGTCAATTAAAACTTCAAGAATAATTTTGGAAACACTTTTATTTGTGCATTTAAATACTAAGTTACAGTAATATACATATTTTTCATCCAAAAAAAATCAAAAAATTATTCATACTAAAAACTTACACATGCTCATCAAACATTAGACAATATCCAAGGAAGAGAGAGGAAAAAGAAATTAAAACGAAGTCTTGTTCAATTCCAGCTGAGCTATTTCAAAACTCAGTAAGAACCCATCTCAATTCTTGTAAAATATCATCAAATATAAATATTTCTTAAATAAAATCTTATAAATATATATATATATATATATATATATATATTTTTTGTTTTTGGTACATAACTACATAGAAACTTGGACACACAACTTCCAATGAAAGTTCGGAAACGACCAAGAAAGGGAAGGAACGAAGGGAAGGGAGGAGGAGCCCTTCCCCTTCACCTTCCTCAAGAGCAGCAGCCCCCGCCCCCAACCCAGCCAAGGGCTGACTGAGAGGGGGCGACGCCGCCTCTACCCGCTCCACCTGCAAACGAAGAAGAAGAATCCACCCATTTCGTTGCCAACTTCCACCGAAACCCCCCATAAAAACAACCAACCAACCATCGAACTACAACCAAAAGCTTACTACATCAACCAGCTGAATCCACCAGCACCGCATTGCATTCCCTTTGTATCTCATTGAAGTAGCAGTAGTAGTCGTAGTAGTCGAAGAAGAAGAGGACAAGAGGGCTCTGTTGTCGTAGATGATGATAGCTTGGTGTCTGCTTGAAATCGCAGCTCATTGAGTTTGCAAGGCGGGAGTGCAAGTGTGGCCCATTGGGAGGGAGGGAGGGAGGGGGAAGTGTCGACGGAATCCATCACGAGTAAAAGTGGATTCAGGTAGAGAAGGGGTAGGAGTAGGAGCGGGGAACTGAATTGTTGCGTAGGTTGTGTTAGCAGGGTTTGGTTCGGGAAGAGGAGGTTTAGGAGTGGTGTCTTGCGTCGTTTGAGTTGTGTGTTTGCGCGGTAGTTGATGCGATTTCTTTTAGCTTGTGAGTGTGGGAGTTGAGTGGAGCGAGCGAGTTTTGTGTGCAGGAATGCATTCGCTTCAGGATATGGCTTTGGGTGCTTCTCCTTTCGTTGGCTTTGATGGATTGAGGGTGAACACCCCTGGGCAGCTGGGGACGCACATAGCGGTTGGAAGTTGTTCGACTCTGCCCGGCGGCTTCTGCGTTCGGGCTGTGGCTACGGTGCGTTCATTTGCGTCGTCGTCATGGTTTCCTTTTATGCATTTCTGCTCTAGGTTCATTTGTCATGTTTGGTTTGGAATGCACCCCTCTGCTGGCTCGGGCCTTCTGAGGTTTAGTGACAGTAATTGGATTTGCATGTCGTATAAGATCCTTAGAGTAGGCAAACTTGAAAGGTTTTCGCTTTTTGTTTCAGACTTCTTTTTTGAAACCGTGGCAATTTGGTGCAGCCCGTGAAGCCACCCACGACATTGCCGCCTAAGCGTAGTAAGGTGGAGATCATCAAACAAAACAGCGATTTCTTGAGGTTCCCTCTGAAGCAGGAGCTTCAAACGGAGGCCCCCAACTTGAATGAGGAATCTGTTCAGCTTATCAAGTTTCACGGTAGTTACCAACAAGATAACCGGGAACTCCGAGGCCCCGGCAAAAAAGCGTATCAATTCATGCTTAGAACCAAGAACCCCTCAGGCATCGTCCCCAATCGCTTGTACCTCGTCATGGACGAACTCGCTGACAAATACGGAATTGGGACTCTGCGTCTCACTACACGGCAGACCTTCCAGCTTCATGGAGTTCTCAAGGTGGACTTGAAAACCGTCATGAGCAGCATCATTAGGAACTTAGGCTCCACTCTGGGCGCTTGTGGAGACGTCAACCGAAATGTGCTGGCTCCAGCCGCGCCTTACAAGACGAAGGAGTACATGAACGCTCAGGAGCTTGCTAGCAAGCTGGCTTCCCTATTAGCACCCCAGGCGGGAGCTTATTACGACATTTGGGTGGATGGAGAGAAGGTTACGCAAGACGAGCCAGAGGATGTCACGATTGCGAGGAATGACAACTCTCACGGGACCAACTTCGAAAACTCTCCGGAGCCGATTTACGGTGTACAGTTCTTGCCCCGGAAGTTCAAGATTGCTGTCACTGTGCCAGGAGATAATTCGGTCGATGTTTTGACCAACGACATTGGTATAGTTGTGATTAGTGACGAGCAAGGAGAAGTCGAAGGTTACAATCTTTATGTGAGCTCTATCTCCTGAACCTTAAACCCTAAACCCTAAACCTTTCACTTAAAATGTTTGATTCTGAAGAATCTCCTTAAAATTCTAAACCTTTGACTGAAAATGCTTAACTCAGAAGAATTTCCAAGTTGAAGCTCCAATTAATGGCGTTAGTTACATCGTTAGTTACAACGAAATGGAGAGTCTGGCCATTTGTTTACGGGTTTTATTGATGTGTCTTGGCATTGTCTATTTAGCAGTGCCCTTTCATGATGCTGTAGTAAAGTAGCGTTTGTACTATTGTGCTCCTTTATTTGTTTTATTTCATTATTTTTCTTTAATTCTTTGGATAAATTAACTGCAGGTAGGAGGAGGCATGGGCCGAACACATCGCAATGAAGCGACCTTTCCTCGGTTAGCCGATCAGTTGGGTTATGTTTCCAAGGACGATATACTGTATGTAGTGAAGGCTATTGTAGCCACGCAGCGGGACTACGGTCGTAGGGATGATCGCAGAATGTCCCGTATGAAATACGTCGTGGAAGAATGGGGGATCGAGAAGTTCCGTACAGTAGTGGAGCAATATTTTGGTAAAAAGATCGAGTCTTTCAAAGAGATCGTGCCATTCGAGTTCCAGAGCTACTTGGGGTGGCACAAGCAGGTTATTATAACTCATCATTGTCCCGAACTGAAACTTAACGGCGTGTGCGATGTTCTCAGTCCTCCATTATAATCGTTTTTGTGTGCACATTTTTGTTATGGTGGTCAGACCGAGGATTGTGTTCTCTGTTTATGATCAGGGCAAGTAGCTTAGTTTATATGACTTTAAGTAACATATGATTTTAAAAAATGGTTGCAGGGAGATGGGCTTCTGTTTTATGGCCTGCACGTGGAGAATGGTCGTATAAAGGGAGAGGCCAAGAAGGCTTTAAGGGAGGTGATTGAAGAATACAATTTGAACGTTCGCATCACACCTAACCAAAACATGATTCTCTGCGACATTAGGCCTTCTTGGCGACCGAAAATCGCCAAGAGACTTGCTGCTGTTGGAATGGTGGTGAGTCTTCTTTGTAGATTTCTTTTTTTGATCGTTCTTTGTTATGTTATGTCCATCTGCTACTTGATAGTATGGATTGGGATGGAAGGCGTTAACTTCTTTTGTGCCTTTGCAGTCACCAAGATTCGTGGATCCATTAAACGTGACAGCCATGGCTTGTCCAGCGTTGCCGCTCTGCCCCCTTGCTATCGCTGAAGCTGAACGAGGAGCGCCAGACATCCTCAAGAGCATTCGAAAGTTGTTCGACAAGGTGGGATTGAATTCCACAGAGTCCCTGGTGGTTCGCATTACTGGCTGCCCTAATGGTTGTGCAAGGCCGTACATGGCAGAGCTTGGATTAGTTGGCGATGGACCCAACAGCTACCAGGTATAATTTCCAACTTTGACAAAAATTATTGTTGCCTTAACAGCTATATTTGCATGATAATGCTATGGCCACTTTTGAGTACGACTTGAATGGTTTGGTGCATTTCTGTTTTCTCTCTGTAGATATGGTTGGGTGGCGCTCCAAATCAGACCAGATTAGCGGAGTCATTTATGGAAAGGGTGAAGTTGGATAAGTTGGAGTCAGTTCTGGAGCCGCTTTTGTACATGTGGAGAACTGAGCGTCGTGAGGATGAGTCGTTTGGCGACTTTTCTTTCAGACAGGTGCGTCTTCTAGCTCTTGAATCAAAGTTTTGATACATAGACTTTTGAGTTAGTTGGATGGTGAGCATCTTGCACTGCATTAGAAGTTATGTGAGGATTTCTTGGCCCAGTGTACTTTCTGATGTAATTAACGCTTCGTCTCAATGCTTTATGTTTCAACTCGAGCGGGTAAGCTCCTGCAATGTTTGTGTTGTGAAGTAATCTTTGGGGCTTGACTTGAGAAATGGGCTCTGATTTGCTGTTCACAGGGTTTCGGTGCTTTGAAGAGTTACATCGAGAACTATACAGGTCCCCGCAAATCTCCTCGGAAGGTTGGAATCCACTTGGAATCCCATGTGCATGACATTTTATCAAAAGCAGCTGAAAGCCAGGGTATTAACCCAACAAAGCTTGCTACAAAAGTTTTTACTGAGTTTCTAGGACATGAAGAGAGCTAATGTCATTTACTATTAATTAGTAACTTTTTCTGCAATTATTTTGAAGCTCATGTTTTCTTGCAAACTTTAGTTTCCTTTACTCAGCGATGCCCACTCTAGAAACTTCATACCTTGTCCCTTTTTTTCTTTCTACTCCTACACAAAGGCGAGCAAGTGATCTCTACTGTGCTAATCACACAGAGCAAAAATTTCCCTTTTTATCTCTCAAAAACTAGTTTAATTGTAAACATGTTTTTCACAGCGTTTTTCACAGCGTTTTCACAAATTGTAACCGATCGAAAAATTCATTTGTGGCTACAGAGGAAACTCGAATTAGACAAGTTGCTCCTTTGTAATCGCTCCATGTCTAACCCAGGGCATAACAGCATAAGCCATACCAACTTTTAAAGTTCAATTTGGAAGCAAAGAGAGTGAGTCAAACATGTTTACAACTAACTTTCTAAGACATGAATCCTAAAACTCCGCGTGAGATGTGAAGTATCTAACACTATTTAGTGATCTGGTTAACGTGTAAGCAGTTTCATAATTTCATTTTCAACTTGATATGAGAAGTCTTGCTGCTCATCCAGACTACATTGGCTACAAATGCCGATGTGAATGAGTCTGCTTCATCTTCCCTCATCCATCTGTGCAGTCGGGGAAGTCACCACAGTTACTTGTACCCGCTTATGCAAGCTTATCTAGGTTTACAACAGTATACACTTGTCTGAGGTCAATTGTTGCCACTTCCAAATTAGAACATCGTGTACCTATTCATACTGCCGACGGAATTTTGTTTATCATTAACTTCGGTGACTAATGGACAGACCCGGTTGCAGGATTTTACATGAAGAAAATCTCGTAAATCTAACCATCATTCCCATCATGACATAGGACGCACCCATTGTTTAAACATTGGTTAAAAGGCGCATGAATTCTCGTCTCAGGACGTAGATTGCTGGAGGATATTATACCCTACAGCAACGTTTGAACGCTCGCCAATGCCTTTGATAAGAAGTCGGATTTAGACCTAATTCTTTACTGATGGTCAGGGCTTTTTAAACTGGGGCTTTCCCTGAAATAACTAATTTAGCTTATTTTAGGGTTGCAGCCACATTTTATTTTAGGTGAATTACAAATGCATGAAATTCATCTATAGAGATGGCTAGAAACATCCATTCTAGTCAAATTTGATAGACTTTGTTGAATTGTTTAGAGTGCAAGATACTCTTGAGCAAGAAGTCCATGAGACATTGCCAATATTTGTCCTTCTTCCATCCAATCATGGAGAAGTTGTATTTAATAGTACTTGTGTAAGGAGCCAATTTGCCACAAAAAATTTCAAGTTGTAAAATCAGCCATTGCAATGAGTGAATTTGATGTGAAATTCTTTTTGCAAATCGAAGCGCTTGTCAATGGCATGTTTAAAGGTCATCTCCTTGTGATAAATGCACACCATGGCTCGGTGGTCATTCTCAATATCCTCGATGGATTGCATGTTCTATCCAACCAATTCCAACAACAACTTGTGCCAATAGATGGAAATGCTTGAGGGAGACATTTGTAATGCACACAAATTGTAGGGCATCACTTTTACAATGTCCTTGTTGTTGGCATTGTTGTTGTAATCACATTGGGCAATAATAGACACAATATTGTCAATAAGTCCAGTAAACAAAGCAACTACATTACAAACTATGGCCTCGGTCTTTATTGTAGGCAGCAAAGTCGTGAGGCTTATCACAAAAGTACCTTGATCTTAAATAAAAGCCTTTACACTCATAAAAGCCACACACTAAGATCTACTGATGACCAAATTTTAGGTGCCATAAGCCATGGCCAAAGTCCGTACATTGTAAGGGCCTTGCACTTTGCACAAATCCACTAAGGATTAAATTAATCCTTCTAATTGGACTTTTGGTTGATTCAAAATTATGCTTAGTCCTTGTAAGCATGTCACAATGGTAGAGATTACTTCCACAACGTTGCTAATTGTGAGGAATGCCACCCACCAAAAAAAAAAAAATGATACATGTAGGTAGCTTCTACATGAGGTACTTGCAGATCACAATGTATTCTTGCTACAAAAATCCATTCAATTTTTTCATGGATGACCACCACATGTCCATGAATTTTCGACATGTACAATCCATCTTCTTAATGAGATTCTATTATTGGTAAAGATAAAAGATAAGACTTGTCAAGATGTTGACAAATTGGTCATCATATAGCTTGACGTTGTCGGGGTAGAGAGAGTTTGCCTCAAGAAAGCGCTGGGCTTCTAGCTGTCACTAAATACTCAATCAAGTTTGAAATATAAGGGTAACAATTTTATATATATAAACTCCTCTCCTTTGGAGCAATTACATCAATATACAAGCCTTAAAATCCAAAGAACACCAAAATACTTGATAAGGTGTTATAAAAAACTTATATATCCTTATGAGGAATTTTTCCCGAAGTTCAACAGCTCATAACTTACGATCTAACCATTTAAACAACTCCAAATTTTATATGGAGTACTGATATATTTTTAGCAACTACCACACCAAAAATTCAACTGTAAATTCGTCTTGGATCTTGTGATATCTTGAAAACCCTAACTGTAGCTTCAAACCCTAGCTATTTTACACCTCTGTACAACTTCCTTCATATCTCACAAAGTAATTATTCAAATACTATGAAACTTTGATCTAAAGCTTTTTAACCCAATTACACACACTTGTGGAAATTTTGAGCCAAAAATTCGTCCAGAAACTCAAGATATGGCTTCACCCATAACTAGCAACAAAATGATATACTTACTGCCTTCAAATTACAAGTGCTGTCTTCAACGCCTCATAACTCCTTCACCCAATCTTAGAATTCACTATACAGTAAGTAGAATGTGTAGCCGAGAAAATGCTCCCTCCAAATCCAGTCGCCGATCTTCCGTTGCTCTCCGTATTCGTATGTGATGCCCAAAAGAAGTGACAGTAGGTACAAAATTGACACCTTATCTTTGAACATTCATATCTTTTCCATAAAAACTCGAAATCACACAAAATCTTCACCCAAATTATACCCAAAACCTTAAACCTTCTGACCCTAGCCTCAAAAGCTCGAATGGTGTCGAAAGAGGAACCCTAATCCCTAATATGGCCTCGGGCAGCCTCCTCAAAGCCCATTGGGCATGGTATTCGACCAATAGGGATGAAGTTCTTCACCCCTTACCTTCATCCAACCATGCCTTACTTTCATCCTTTCCAATATGCCTCCTTCTAGTTATATTTTCATCTTTTAACTCCTCCCTTCCCTTAATCTTTATACTAACTATCTAAATCCTATATAATATAAACTCTATAATCAAACTAGATTAACTTCCAAATAATTTTTCTTATTTCAATTCATTTTAAATTAACATACTAACTATTCTAACTCACATTAAGACTTATAAACATATTACATGTTTTCACTAATTTTTACATACTGTAAGTAATTACAGTACGACAACGTATTCAACTTAGATCATGAGGTCAAGTTGGTATAGAGCATACCACATCCATATAATTCCATCACTAATCACCTTGACCATCCTTATTGTGACACCAAAAATCTATCCAATCATCATCCACTTATCATCCATATTAATTCCAATTAGTTATATCTTTGATTTTGGAATAATAGAATTCAAAAGTTTTGCACCTACAACAAAGATTAATTTGGACAATTTATAATTGAAAAGAGGAATAGCAAGAAGGTAGAGGTTGTATAATTTTGATTGATGCTTAAATTGGACTCAAAAGTTAAGGTAGGAGGCGCCTTACTTTGAACTAATGTTAAGAGTAAGCAAAAATGTCCACTGCATATGGAAGAGCTTGATGATTTTTTTGTAAGTTCACAATACAAATGAATCTTATAAATGAAGCCTTACAATTATCATTGCATCTATTGAAATAGCCTATGTGTGATATAGTCTTCTTGATATCTACAAGATGTGTTGCCATTTGAAACAAGGCTTCATAGAAGTTGAAGTTGATCATGAAATAGAATAGCTACAAAGAATTGATCTCTACCTTGTACACTTTGCAGTTCAGATCTTGCTCTCAATTGAGTTCAACTTAATTATTGTTTGCATCTTCAAACAACTTAAAAATTGATAATACATGTTTATGAGTTGACACAAATTTCTTGTCATCCGTATTGAATAACATGTCACCAATAATCACATCTACTATGTCTTTATTTAATTGTGAACGTAAGTACCTTCTCAGTCTTGAAATGAGCTGCAAGGATGTTTTTGAAATTCACTTGGTCAAAGAATTACCTCTTTAAAGCATTTAGGAGGGCATTGCACTTTGTTCATGCTTTAGTGTACTATGACTTTATATATGCTATGCTATTGTCTATGTAAAAAAGAATTGAAAATGTTTTCTTATTCACCGTTTGCTTCCACTTACACCTTATGAAATTGACTTCTTTGTAACTGAGTTTGTTATAAAACAAGTGTCATGTTGATAGAACTTGGTCAATATTCTCAAATTATGGATTCAATACAAGGCCGAACTTTGTTCATACATAGGATTTCTAAGGAGTCTACAACTCTTTCGCTATAGTGAATTCAACATACATACCTCAATGTGACTATTGTGATTGCAGATTGATTTTCTTCCGATTAGATTACATCATGTGGTGCCTCCTCCAACCATAAAAAGAAATATCATTGGAACCTTATTTTAGGACATCTTGCTAAACTTATTTTTAAAAAATTAGGATTTTTTGAAAAAAAATCTTAATTTAACAAGATTTGTTGATGGTTCATTCTATATTTCTTGCTTCTTTAAGTACTATAGATTTAATACATACGATAGTTATATAAAAAAAGATTGGTTAAGAAGAGTTGGATTTAGTGATGAATTATAAAACTCGAATTTTTATTGATGGATTAACAATGATGACAATAAAAATCTATTTTTTTGAATGAAGCAAAAGTAGTGAGTGAAGCAAATAAAGAAACATGCCAAATATGTGTAATGAGACAATAATGTGACAAACTCATCCAATTACAAACAATAGATCATAAAAAAATATATCTTCATGAATAAATCATTAACCACGTCAAATTTTTTAAAATTTGTTTAATATTAAAAAAATTACCAATTAAAATAAGATTTATTTTAGATTCTTCAAATAAAGATCCTATGAGGTAGTTATTTGAAATATTTGATATTTATATTAGAAATATTTGTCATTCTTTTGCTTTGTGTGTTGTTCTTGAGAAAAATTAATTCAGTAGTTGTAAGAAATTCTTATTATCAACTTTTGTCAACTTTTGTACTTCTACAATACAATTGTCAACATGTCAAAGTCCTTTAGACAATGCATACTTCTTTTTATACTCTAATAATATTATATTATTGCTTATATGCAGGGTGATGATTTGGAATTTAAAGAACTTAGTCAATTATATGATTTGGCTCGATAGATCAGTAATAAAAAATTTAGTTTTTAAAAGCGTAGACTTCTTACTAAACTATATCATGTCTTAATCGCCAACCATATTCAAGCAGCATGTTTGTACCATTTGCTATAGTTTTTACATGCTTTTAGATCATCTTGAGTAGCGCCATGTTTTCTATAACAACAATTATTGTCCTAAAGCAACCATCATATATTATGTTACAATTTGTCTAATGTATCTTAGCAACTAAAAAATTGGAGCAATTCTCTACTACAAATAGAGTTATCAAAGGCTATATTGTCATATATGTCAACCTTGTCATCTGAATTCTTTATGACATGAGATGGTAATAGATTCATTGGCAAATGCTTAAAGAAGGAAAGAAATCTTAGTGGTTAATAGAGACAAAGTCAATATTTTTCTAAGTTTTTATGAACCTTAATGGATAAGTAATTGTTTATCACTTTGGACTAGCCTAGTTCTATTAACAACTCTACCATCTACAAAGAAACTTCTTTTAAAAAGAAATTTAAAAAATATTTTATCACATGACAATATTTTCTAGTAGACTTTGCTTCTATGTTGTTTAAAATTGATGTGTTCTTTTACCATCCCTCGGCTTCACTTCTAATGGAAAACACAAAGTTTAATTAATGTGTGATCATAATTAAAGTAAAGAATGAATGTTGTATAGTAGTAGCAAAAGAAAATTTGAATTTATTTGGAAAGATTAAGAAATTATTAAATAACATAAAGACATGTTGGTAATTGCAATATAGGTTATTGCTTGTATTTTTTTGTATAATACATTGGCAAAATTGAAGAACAAGTGGATTAAATTTTACTTTAGATATCAAGTTGCAAGCTTTAAAAGTCTTATTAGTCTATAACAATATTTTATTGCATAAGCAACTCAAAGAAATAACTTTGACTATGAATTGTGCCAAAGGCCTCTTGTTAATAAGAAACAATTTCTAGGTGTATCTTCAAAAAAATTTAAATATTATAAATTTATTAAGAGATGCCTACGGATTATACTGACTTAAATAAAAGACACAAGTATTACTTTGTCTCTCTAACAATTATATTTTTTTGCAAGGAAATAAAGATTATAAAATATTTCTTATCTTATTCATCTTTTTTCTTTTAAAACCTTGTATTTCTCTCTTCCTTCTCTTGCTTCCATGAAAACCATCTTTCTCCAAATTTGATATATTTGATTTTTTTTTTTTTTCTTCTATCTAATTTTCTTTCAAATATCAATTTTTTGTACTCTCCAATTGACTTTATTTCTTTTGTCTCTTTTGTAGTCTTAATTTTTTTAAGCACTATCTTTAAGAAAGCTTAAAAAAATATATTTTGAAAGTGCTTGCTTTTCCTTTGAAGAGTAGAATGTACCTTGTGCTTGTTTTTGCACTTAACCATAGACAAATATGGCACCTTTAATTTATATAGAATGAGAGACAATGTAAAGTTTGATAGCGTTTCAACTAGTATCACCTCAAGTAGTAGCAATTCATCAAAGGCATCTAAGATATGCAAAAGTTCAAATTAGACATGTCTTTTTCCAACAATATTTATTGAATGACTGAGAATACTTTAATGCCAAAAGAAAGTAAGGAATCCATGACTTAGAATGGCATCATAGTTGAATCTTTTCTAAAGAATTCCTTCATAATCTTAAAATAAGCATAAACTTTGTTAAACTTATATTCAATGGTGTATACTCCCTTTTTCTTGTCAGCCTTAGTGATACAACAATTGATTTTTTATTAGTTTTTTAAGGCTTCAATGAAGTTATTTTTGTATGTCTAAAGATGGCTTCTTATGGCCCTCTTGTTAAGATTGAATTATCCATAGCTCAAGTTCTTGACTATATGCACAAGTATGGTTAGACCTACTATCTTTGTCTTTAGAAGAACACCAATTATAGTTGTAGCACAGACACCATAAATATTGTCAATGTTACATCTATTTTCAAGCCATGATATAATATATGTATAGTCAATTTCTATCAAGTGTATCTTAGGTGCCTTTGGTATAATTGGACCAGACATGGTGGAAACATATGAAGAAAAAAACAAAGCATAAAATGCTAAGATATCAAGATGTCAATGTGTCAAGCAAAAACCAAATCTAAATCCAACCAAAAACAAAGTCCAAATCAAAAATTCTTCCATAGACTTTGTCCCTAGAAACCCTCAAAGGAGTACTTCTTTTAGATCTTATTTGCTAATTGGCTAGTGGAACTGCTATAAGAAGAGCTATCACCCCTCCTAATTTTTACGTATTTGTTGCATGAGTCAACTTGTATAAGACAATTTTGGCTTATAAAAAAATTAATACAATAAAACTTATTTTATACTTATATTCTCATTACTTCTTAAACTAAAAAAAATTATAAATATAAAAACAATTATCTTCTAATTTCTATTTGTGGTCTTTAAATGATTTCTTTAAAATTATATATATATATATATATATATATATAAACTTAATTTTTTAACATAAAAATAGATAAATAAAAATTTAATGAAAATATACATTATAATTCCTAAATAAGGATCTTAAGGTCAAAAGAATTGGAATAATTTATCACAATAAAGATTTAAATATTATATATTTTAAGATAATCAAATATATCTTCATCTTTTATGTTTTTAGCATAATCAATTTAAAAAATTATCTCTATTTTTTACTTATATCCAAATTATATATAAATTTATATTAAAATTTTATAATTTTTTATAATATAAATTTAATATGTACAAAAAATACTATATTTTAGCCATAGATACTAAATTTGGTTTAAATGAAGCTAAATCTAATTTAAATAATGTTAAGATTAAATATCTTCTTGTTATGTAAGATGAAGAAATAAACACAAATTGACTATTTTATTTTAAAGATTAATATAGAATAATATATTATACTATTTTTATAAATAAATATATTAATATAACCATTTATAAGCACAAAGAAACTAAAGAATCTTAAATCAACATATAATTGAATATAATGTGTTGACAAGATGATATCAATAATACCTTCAATTATATTTCTATATATACTAGCTAACAAAAAAGCCATGTAGGAGTTTTTTAATATTATTTTTGATAAATTTATTTATTTATTTTAATTGTAATATTTTTTATTATATTTTACATATTGTATCTTATTATCTTATTTGTTTTGTTTTGTTTTAAATAAATCTTCTTATTCATACATATGTTGTATTCTTAATGTTTTTAAGAATAATTAAAATGTAATTGACCAACAAGTCAAATATTGAGTGTCTAATTTGTTCTTGTATTATTATGTTTATTTCTTCTTCTAATAAATTAGATATTTTTTATTTTTATTTTTTATGTTATATGTATATATGTATATATGTATATATATTTTCTATGCATTGTTTCAAATTGGATCAGTTCAAATTGTGGTAGTAAGGTAAATATTTTGTAGAAACTGAACAATAATCCACAAAGATTGTAAATTTAGTCTGTAAAATACAAATCAAGGCATATTGAAGATGTTCTGTTATTTACATGAGATTCAAATCACAAATACTGAATTACAATCTGAAGATGGAAGTTGATTAAATTATTTATTTTATTTATTTTATTTATTTATTATGTTTTTCTATTATAGTAAATTAAATTATAGTAAAATGAAAAGAGAAAAAAATAACAAACCAAGACTCTTTTCACGAAATAAACTTGGATTTCCCACAAAAGTTAGTGACAATAGCCAAGAGTCAGGAAAAGGAATAATCACTATCGGCTAGAAAAAAGATCTAATCGTGAATTGATTAAAATCAACTCTCATGAAGGAGATTATTATTATTATTATTATCCACAAAATACTCAAACAGTAGAAATAAAATTGTGGGCTTGGTCAAATCATGTCAATAAATGGGTTTGAGCAGCGACGGAACATTCGAGGAACCAGACACCCACAGCAAACGACGGTAATGGGAGGAGGTGGGGGCAATGAAGAGCCCTCCCTCTCTTGTGAAGGGAACAAGGGAATGCAATGCCGTGCCGTAAGGGGAAGGCACGGGAATAGGGTCGGCACGGTGATGGAAGGCGGCAGAGGAGGAAGCGCGAGGGAGGGAAGGAGGAGGTCGCAGGAGTGAGTGTGGCTGCAACGGGGTTTTCACACCCTCTCCCACTCTCACTCTCTCCTCTTTATCAAATGCCAGTAATTTTAGCAAAACACACACACACACATTATTACAAGAGGGAGTGAGACAGAGAGAGAGAGAGCCCGGTCTTCTTCTTCTTCTTCTTCTTCTTCTTCTGCATCATCCGAGCATCCTGTAAATTATTGGGGGGAGGAGGAGGAAGAAGGAAGTCCCGCTGCACATATCCATCCATCCCACTTCCATTCCATTGCCCCCCTTGAGGAGGAAGACGAGAAGGTTGCTTTGGGGCGTAGTTTGTTGTCAATCGGGTTCATCGCCCTCTCAGCTTCAGATCCGTGCGCGGAAATCGCTGTGAGGCGTCTTTGGTGGGAACCCTGACGACGTTTGGAAACCGGGGTTGTCTGTCACCTGAAGGAGGGTGCATTTGTCGGGTTGACGTTGTCTGTGCGCGTTCCGAAAGGGTTTGATGTAGGGAAGAATGATGATGGTGATGAGGTAGAAGGAAACATTCATGAGAGGGCTGGCATTGGTGCTGCTTTGGCAAGTTCAAGCTTGTTGATCGAGATCTGGACTCGTAACTTGGCACGATGCTGAAGTTTTTGAAAGGCGTGGTTGGGTCTGGGGGCGGGATCAAAGATCTGCCCTATAATATTGGGGAGCCATATTCCACAGCTTGGGGCGGATGGGCTCATTTCAGAGGCACTTCTAAGGTGGACTTTGTTTGCTCCTCTTTTACAGCTCGGAATATCGAGTTATTTTCTTGTAAATGGGATTCGGTCTTCTCATCTCAGTGCAGAAGTTCTCAAGTGAGAATAGGCGCTAGTACTTCTGTGCGAAATACTTGTCATTTAGTAGCTAGGGTTGGTCAGTCTTCGGAAGATGTTCTATGGCAAGATATTCTGAGTAGTTCAAGTTTCTGAGAGCATTTTCTGCGTGCAGGATGACAACTCTCCGGTTTCCATTTTTTCGTATACTGGCAGTAATGCCCAAGATGCCCGGCTGGCTGCCGCTCGAAATGGAGCCAAACGACTCCGTGTTGTACGATTTCTGTCCTTTAACCTATTTGGGTCGTTCTGTAATCCGCGCTCATGCATTCTGAGAATGCACGCGACACGTTTAGTGGTGTGTCTTTGAGGATTTCAACAAGGTTTTGGATTGGGCAGGTGCGTCATCCGAACGTGCTGGCGTTCTTGCATTCCACTGAAGTGGAGAATATTGATGGGGGTGTTGCGAAACCAACAATTTATCTTGTAACAGAACCTGTCATGCCTCTATCCGAGAAAATCCAAGAGTTAGACTTGCAAGGCACGCAGAGGTACTCTTTGTTATTGAACCCGATGCTTAATGTGATCAAATCCTGATTCTTATGTGAATCCTTTTTGTCCTTTATGTCATGTTACGTTCTAGAATCTGCTTCCAACCTGAGACTTTTTATCAGTGTGGGAGATGAAGTAATGTTTTGGTGGTACGTCACTGTACAGTTCATTTCTGGGGTTGACACTGCCCGTAATCTGGGGCTTTTAGGTTTATGTCCCTTGATGTTCATGATAGTTCTATATAAGTTTGGTTACATGGAATGTCGGACTGAGTTTAGACACCTGCAGGAATGAGTATTATGCATGGGGACTAAATCAAATTGCAAGAGCAGTTAGCTTTCTCAATAACGACTGCAAACTGGTATAGGGTCTTTCTGCTGTGCTCCTTCATCTGCTTCGTCTTTTTCCCGATGCTCTATTTGTGGCATAGCTTCTGGCCATTAAGCGTTTCGTTGTGAGTCTGTGAATCTCTATCTTCCACATACTCTCTCATCTCTTCAAATGAATGCATCTCTAGCCTGCACTCTTTAAGTTAAACATGATTTTACTTCCTGATTGCAGGTGCACGGAAACGTCTGCTTGGCCTCTGTGGTTGTCACTGCTACGCTAGATTGGAAGCTCCATGGGCTCGATGTGTTGTCTGAGTTTGATGGTGCCAATCCAGCAGCTACTGGCCCCATGCTTGTGAGTTTTTATTATGTGTTCTCCTAATTATAGGATATTAGTTTTACACACACGCACACACACTCTCTCTCTCTCTCTCTCGCGCGCGCGCGCTTGCTGACGTTTTTTGACGGTTATTTAGAACAAAAATATTAATCCATTATGGATATTAATCCTCCAGTTTTTTTTTTTACAGCAATATGATTGGCTTGTCGGCACTCAGTTTAAATCATTGGAGCTGGCAAAAAGTGACTGGACTACTATACGTAAATCTCCTCCTTGGGCACTTGATTCATGGGGCTTGGGTAAGTCAACTGCCTCGTTGTAGTTGAATATATGGATGTGTCAATCTGAACTTATCTTGCAATATGCACTTACCTTGGTGGCATTTTTTGTCACTTGTAATGTCGATCGCTTGAGGATTGTGTTTTCCTGTGCAAAACATAGACATTTTGAGCCTTCCTATGTTGTATGTATATGCAGTGGAACTCTTGAGTTTAATTATTTGGTTTTCCGTCAACAGGATGTCTTATATACGAACTTTTTTCCTCTGCCAAGCTTGCGAAAACAGAAGACCTACGGAATACGTCTCAAATACCTAAGGTTATTTCGGGTATCCTTAGGCCGTGTAATGATTTCTTTTCTAACCACCAGCCACAATGTGTAGAGTGCATTTGATGCTTGTGCCTACGAAAGTTGGTATGAAATGTACTGAAAATATCTCGTCTGACACTTTTGTCGGCTTTAAATTTTGTAGACGTTGCTTCCAGACTATCAAAAGCTTCTGGCTTCTGCTCCTGTGAAAAGATTGAACTCAGCTAAATTATTAGAAAATAGTGGTGAGTCTACATTGTGTCCAATTGGCTCGTGCGTTTTCAGGGACTCAGTAACGTTATGCGTAGAAAAGCTTTTGTTCTGGTTTTTGAGTTGATTACTTGCTCTGAATATTACAAGCTAAATAGCATAGATCTCAATTGTGTAGACCTATGCTGCAGTACATTTGATTTTTTTGCGCATACTAGGTTGGGCAGATGGTAGAATACTTTTCTTTTCTAGGTTTTGTTGCCGATGAAAACTAGCAAAGAAAGTGACTGATGACTGTTATTGACTAGCAGAGTTTTTCCACAATAAGCTGGTGGAAACTATACAATTTATGGAAATTCTGAACTTAAAGGACAGTGTAGAGAAAGATGTCTTCTTTCGCAAGCTTCCTACACTCGCAGAGCAACTACCTCGACCTATTGTAACGAAAAAGGTTTCAATAATCTTCCTTCTCTTTTCCTTCTTTTATTTATTTATTATTACGAAAATTAATATATTTTGCTTCTGTTTTTTTGTTGTCGTTCTGTGAATAGCTTGCGAATTGTTTTTGACCTTCGCACCATCCATCCTTATCGCAGTTGCTACCTTTACTTTCATCCGCGCTGGAATTTGGTTCTGCTGCAGCACCTGCCTTGAACCCTTTGCTGAAGATAGGCTCATGGTTATCTCAAGATGAGTTCAACGTGAAGGTGGGTGTAATAGGTCAAGCTTGCAGTTTTAATCATTTGTCTTTTCAATGTTGTCGCCTAGTCGAATGGTTATGAAGGGCTGAACTTCTCGTACTTGATTATCTTAGTTTATTTAGCACATTGTTTTGGCTGTCAGGTTCTGCCGACTGTTATCAAGCTGTTTGCATCAACTGACAGAGCCATTCGAGTTGGGTTACTTCAGCATATCGACAGTTTTGGAGCCGGTTTGTCGACTCAAGTAGTTGATGAGCAGGTTCGTATACAGATAATTTCTTAAGACAATTCTGTGTTTATCAAAGGCTCCCCGCACCTGGAGCTTGAATGCAGCTATCATCACATCAATCAATCATTGTCTGAATGCAGATATTTTCTCATATAGCGACGGGCTTTGCCGACACATCTGCTTTTCTTAGAGAACTCACATTGAAGTCAATGCTTCTACTTGCTCCAAAGGTCCGTATACCTCCGTGTTTATAGAGGAGATTGCTAAAGATGCACAAGTTTCATCGAATTTTACTGACAGTATGCAAATTAATAGATGGCCCGACCTGTTAAACTTGCACGTCATTACTGTTGACAGGTGTTCGTATGTTTCATTCAGTTCGAGAACTATGCAGCGATTCTATATTCCTCTTTAGCATTTTGGCAATGCATTGATCTCACGTTGGTTTTCTTTTGCAGCTGAGTCAGCGTACTATTACGGGCTCACTTCTGAAGCACCTTTCGAAACTGCAGGTTGGTAGTGCACTGTTAGATGCTTATGTTACTCCTCTTTGGTGGATTGACTCATTGATTTAAGATATTTTCATTGGTTGACACTGAATCAAAGTATCTTTTCTTCAGGTAGATGAAGAACCAGCAATTCGAACTAATACCACAATCTTGCTGGGGAATATTGCTAGTCATCTCAATGATGCGGTAAGTACTTTTGCTGCTTTATTTCGTCGCAGTCATGTTGCTACATTGCTGCATACGATGGATTTTGTAGTGAACCATAATGTCATCAGGCGTTGAGTTAGTAGGCGTTTCTGTTGTGCAGACAAGGAAGAGGGTGTTAATCAATGCGTTTACTGTGCGAGCCTTACGAGATGGATTTGCTCCTGCTAGAGTAGCTGGTAAATTGCTGCCAACAGAGCAAACTTTGCGGTCCCTCAAAGCTCTATGGATCTGTTCTCGGAGTTTGTTAGACAAAAACTGCTTTCCTGTTGCTTACTTGGTCTAGCATGCATGCTGCAGTATAGAACTGCGCATGCGTTTTATATACTGCTGCGTAACTCACTTCGTATTACTATCCTCGAATGCTTCTAATGGTGACATTATAGATTTAGAGACGTAGTTTGCAATCATCGGTGATGTTTTATCTTTCTTGCAGGAATAATGGCTCTTATGGCCACTGCTGAGTATTATGATGCAACAGAAATTGCAACTCGTATTCTTCCACATCTTGTAGTTCTTACAGTTGATTCGGATAGGTACAGCTCTACTTTTGTAGATTTTCCCATCTGTGTCGATGCACTTGATCTTTTTTCGTTGGAGTGGCCTTGCCCTTTATTACCTTGTGTAAGGTGGAGCGTGACATGTAAATTGAGTTTTGGGAACGTTTTTACTTTCATGCTGACATATGGACTTTGTCCCGCTGAGTCCCTTATGCCGACCGATTCTGATCATTGATTTGATGTTTACAGTGATGTTCGAACAAGGGCATTTCAGGCAACTGAGCAGTTTGTACAATCTTTGAAAGATTATTATTCCAAGGTATACCACTACAGTTATACTTAAATGGTCACTGAGACTACTGTTTGAGTGCGTATTTGCCTAGTCGTATTTGCATGGCCCTAGCCTTCTCACTCAATGCACTCTATTCATTATCGTGTTTGGATATCCTTAGGTGTACTTTTTTCTTTTTTATTTTCTTGTCCCACTACCAAGAAAATTATGTATACTAATAATTCGTACATGGTCCAGCTGCAATCAGGAGATCCTACTGCTGTTGCTGCTCCAGCTGCAAATGTAGCTTCGGCCGGTAGCTTAGGCTTACTAGGGTATGGAATTTTCGAACCTAGGCAAGACTCTATATATGTGGAGTTCTTTGGAACATGTTGCTTCGTTTCTCCGATTACATTTCTGAATTTTCCTTTCTTTCTGCCTCTAGAACTTCGTGCTATTTCTGTGTAGTCACAGCATGAGGTTTGTTTTCTTCTTGTTGTGTCTTTGCTGGATTCCTCTTTTAAGATTGAATCTTGCATGCTTCTTTAATGATGTAATGCCGAGTTTCTTAATAAAGTTCAGGTTGCCATAGTTTTTTTGTAGAAGTTGATTGCTATGCTCTTGTAACAGGTGGGCAGTGGGCTCTTTGGCTTCCAAAAAGAGTAACGACCTTTCATCTGCCCCTGCTGAAATTACTTCTGGCTCCACCATCATGACAGGTATGCTTGAGTTCACTATTTTCTAATACTTTACAGGTGAATTTCAGAGACATAGCAAATCGTTTAAAGTGTGGCTGCCTGTTCTAAGAGTGTTGGCTCCGTGTCATGAAAGCTTGTATTAAACACTGAACACGAGAGTATTTTAGCTGCCAAACAATTTTTTCACGTCTTTCATTGCTGGCTTCAATGACGGAAACCTCACATCGATGTCTTTTTTCACAGCCTCAGCTTCTCAAACTGCAGCTCCTCCATCTATTGCCACGCATACGAGCGCTCAACCGCGATTTCACGTAGATGAGCCTGCCACTGCATCCCCGACATCAAACGATGGGTGGGGAGACGCTCAGGACCAGGCTTTTGGGAACGACGACGAAGATGAAAAGGATGGGTGGGGAGACATGGATTTACCTGCAGAACCAGCACTGGCTTTGTCGAGAATACGTGCAGCACAACAGAAGCCTGTCACAACACAGCCAAAGCCTGTTGCTACATCAACATCCTCTCCTGTGAAACACATTTCAAGACCTGGTGTGTTAAGTTTTATGCCTTCTCCTTGACTTTCAACGCTAAAATATCAAGGTTCGTGATACTTTTGTTTCATGTTTCTAATCATGACATCGTAATGCTATGTTGTAGCCATAGGAAGGGTTAAGGAAAGCAGTCCTAAAAGCTCGGATGGGTGGGGAGATGATGACGATCCATGGGCAGCTATCGCAGCACCTGCACCTTCGACAACAGCGCGTCCGTTGAATCCCACTGCATCCCGACCGAGTTCACTAGCTAACGGACCCAGACGTCAACCTCAACAAGCCCAACACGTATCGATTGATGGCGCGTCCAGTAGAGGTCGCGGCAGAGCAGCGCCCATGAAACTGGGCGCCTCTCGTATCCAGCGAACTTCGGATTAGCTCTTGGTTCCTTTTTCCTCCTGTCTATACATTCTGTAGGATGAGACAATTGTCTCTTGATTGCGGAATAAGGACTTCAACGTCTTCATTCTTACTTGCTATTCAGTTTCGCTTGTATATCGTTACAGCTTGTGACACTACTCAACTGCTTGCCCCTGAAAAACAGTTGTATGAAAAAGTGATTACTACTAATGTAAGCTTTCTCGCTATTTTACACTACATGTTTTTTGCGGTCAAGATCATATAGCGCATTTCTTGATTGAATCATCTTCCGGCTGCGCAGCAGCTCAACATGACGCTTTTGTAGGTGCGCTTTGATCCACCGGTTTGGATGTTCTGTATCAATTTGTCTTTCAGATTTATTTATTTCAATTGGAATTACTAGCATAGGCTTGAAAATCCTTGAGATGGTGCGTCAAATAGAAGTCTGCATGTGCAGAATATATCCTTGTATAAATCGTGAAACGGGGATTGCAACATCATGTTGCTTGACGAAAAGTTAACTTCGGAATGCAATGTGGTGGGATTGTCTACAGTTAAAAGATGAATGCTCATTGTTGATTATGTTAACTTGCGATGTTTCATGTCACTATATTCATGAATATTTTCACAATACTATTAATAGTTACTAATCAATTTAATATATATCTAGATATTTTAATGTATGCAGTTCTACACAAGGGTAGGATTTGTGATAATAAAATGATTATAAAGGACATATACACCGGCAATTGATATGTGCAGTGAACGACTCTAATTGTTTGATTTGCTAACTTTCTACAAGTGGAATGGACGAAAAAATACTACTCGTCCTCCCAGCGGGAGAAGACTAGTTTATACCTTCGTATTTGTAAATTAACATTGGAATTACCAGAAATGGGACCCTACTACGTTGGATTTGTATGTATCAATTTAAATTATGGTTGTAGATAGTTGAGACAGATTATGATTTTATTCTGTTTTGTAAAAGATTAGTAGTCTTAGATATCCAAGGAAGGTTTGAAAGCTGCATTAGCTCTCTAGTCCCGCAAGACAAAAGCTTTAGGCGGCCACTGCGAATGTTTGAGACACAAGCCTAGAATTCTTCATCACCGATCCCCACTTTCCCCCTTCTCGTTCTCCCCATTCAACCAGGTGTTCGCTCAGATCAGCGGGTTAACTATCATATGGGATGCGAAAGTATATTTCTGTCCCCGTATCAAGTCTGTTGAGCTTGACAAAAGTTTCTTGTCATCACCGCGAAACATACCTCGCACTTACCCTGCATAGCAACTCCCAAGCTCAGTTCGTCACCAGTTTCTCATTCACATGTTCTCAGTAGCAGAACTGGCTTATACTGGTATTTCGATCATCACTGCTCCGACACTCCCAATCGCATACATTGACAAACTGCCCCACCATTGATTCAGATTTAAAACCTCCCAATTAACGTAGCATTATTCCTAATGCCTTGACAAAACAACTATAATGCTCACCCTGCAACTAAACAGAGGCACCCTGGATTGAACCAATTGCCACCAGACTGGCAGAGGCTTAATCCCTACGAATGATAATTACACTCTGCCTTCACCTGACGAAAGATCAGGTAATACGAGTATAAATCACCTCTGCATCTTGTACAAGTTAAACATTCTACACCCCAGAGCCATCTAATCAATCAAGTCTTGGCACAACACGAAGTCGTTAACATGTAAAACCTGGTAATCTGAATTCTTCCCGACAGCTGCAACTATCACACTCACTAAACAAGAAAACGAAGTAAAAGCCTGGCAGTAGCATGGTCTGTCCCACAGAGTAATAGCAGCGACGCTGCTCCCTTGGGCAATGGAATATGCAACCTCATGTTCACTGAAAAGAGCCCTGCACGCGAAGGCACAAGGACATTATCGTCTGAACTAGTTGATCTTTGACGTTAGCAAAAGGACTCTACGGCCACATGTGCAAAAGCCGCTCCAAATTGCTGGAGTAGCACCCCGCCAAGCATACTACCCCCGTCATGTCTAGAGGTGGGACCACGCACTGAAATTCAGTCACTCAAAAATGTTCATTTGACCTTACGTGCTCGTCAAACACGCAGTTCATAAGAGGGTTTGGTTAGACAAATCAATTAGAAACGGATAAATACTCTAGCATCAAACAGATTGAATGGCAGCGTTATGGAAACCCAAAGAGCAGGCTTATTAAGTTAACATTGTCAGACACGATCGTCCCTTGATCACAACCTTAGAAATAAGCAACTAAACAACCAACCAAACCCCAACACCCAACAGGAATTTTCGCTTTCAGGCCTGCAACTTCTGGGACGATTATCTAGGCACGGTAAGTTAAATGCTGAACCTGAGAATCTATGCTTTCTAATTCTCAACAATTCCACGGGACAACACCTAGAAATTAATTTTGAGGTACACATTACCAGCCGAGACACCATCTTTACATAACGAAGCTCAAGGATCTACTCGTAGGTACAAGCGAGGCCATAACCTCAGTAGTCTCAGATATCCAAGGAAGGTTTGAAAGCTGCATTAGCTCTCTAGTCCCGCGAGACCAAAGCTTTAGGCGGCCACTGCGAATGTTTGAGAAACGAGCCTAGGATTCTTCGTCACTAACCCCCGCCTTCCCCCCCTCTCGGTCTCCCCATCCAACCAGGTGTTCGCTCAGATCAGCGGGTTAACTATCATATGGGATGCGAAAGTATATTTCTGTCCCCGTATCAAGTCTGTTGAGCTTGACGAAATTTTCTTGTCATCGCCGCGAAACACCCCTCGCACTTCACCTACATAGCAACTCCCAAGCTCAGTTCGTCACCAGTTTCTCAATCACATGTTCTCAGTAGCAGAACTGACTTATACTGGTATTTCGATCATCACTGCCTCGACACTCTACTCCCAAATCCGCCCCTAAAACAAACATCAATACATGTGGGGCCAATGATTGATTGTTAATCCAGACATGTGCGCCTGCCTAACTGCCCACTCGCCCAACCACTCTGGCAATCCACCATTCAACTTCCAGCGCATGGATACAGAGCACAGTGTTGTACACACGGGATTGCGCGACTTCGATTGCGAAGGACCACCGATTGTGGCTCAGCCTACCCAGACTACGAAGCAAGGATCGAACAGCTAAAACAGACAGTGCCACCTAAAACTATGTTTTATCAAAATCGCATACTTGCAAATCAATTCGAAAATACAACAACCTTACAACACCAGTCCGACCCCTAATACTACAATTCGACAATCAGTAGCATCCAGGTAAAGCTGAAGATGACCAAATGAGCAAGCCAACTGATCAATTCTGATTCGACATCCGGCACGGAAGCATATGTACGCGCAATTGAAAGGTGAGTTGCATCTTCGAGGCTGATGGGCCAGCAGAGCCCTAATTCTGAATGAAACCCTAGAAAGCAATGCTGGAATAATGCGAAGCGTGGTGGATGAATGACATCTCTGCCGTGGTCCCATAAGAATGACAGTCATTGGATGAATATCCCAGTACCGTCATCCTTCCAAATTCACGGGCTTGCAGCAAGTTATTACAGTCTGCTGCCCGCTCGTTGCCCCGACTTGGTCTGCCTCTTGCTTATGATTTTCCATTTATGCCCGGTTTTTCTTGCTTACACTTGGGGGGTGGGAGGTGAGAACTGTTAACAAATGATTTATTATTCATAAAATAAAAGTATTAATATCTTCTATTTAATTTTTATTATTTATTTTAATTTTATAAAGCCCAACTGCCGCTTCTAGTCCTCTCCATGCTCCTCAACAATTCACCATGTTGCGCTCTCTGCAAGTTGCTCAACTATAAACATAAAACAAAAAACAAAAACAAATCACTTGACTACAGAAGTTGACAACCATTCAAAATGTTATTAAAATTCATCTATTATGCTTGGCATAAATTGGCAAGCCAACAAATCTTACGTAATACATAAAGAACATGCAAATTTGAAGATGAAAAGTTAGTGCATTGCTCAAACCTAATTGATACTCACAACTGAGATGGCCCAATATTAAATCATTCACTGCTAACATGCTTGCCTTTCTTATCTTGTATAATACACAAATTGCATTTAATTTAAAATCAATGATACAACACAACTCCAGTATAGAGTTGAATTGGCAAAAACAGTATTTTGTGTTGCCCTTCTCATTCACATCTAATCAATGTCATGTTCACTTAGGAGGTAGTGTTGGTAATTTTAAGTTTTTAGAAGTGTTAGGGAAGTGGTATTGTACCTCTTGTTTGTAAATGTGGAAATACTGAAATGTCACAAAAATAGTGGAAAGTCACTAAGGTGCTGAAAGAATGGTAAATGGTCAAATTAGAATTGGAATAAGTGGAGTTAGTGTATCACCAATTGGCCCTTCAACCATTGTTTTTTCCATGATGGAGTTGACCCATCTCAATCAAAAATGTATCATGTATGCATGTTGTAAGTGTGCATCATTAGAGCCACTCCCAATATGAATTTTGTTATGTATTAAGATATATAATTGCACAAGAAAGGAGCTGTTTAGCTTACTAAACAATTCTTGATTTTAAGAACAACTTTCCTTGGCAACAGAAATCTTTATCATAGATCAACTCTAACATGAGAATATGATCAAAGGTATTGAAAAAAATTGATGTGTGAATGGTTGGGTATATTGAAATATTCTTGTTTGACTAAATGTTTTGTAATTTAGTGTAATCCCAATGGTCATTCAATATGGATTGCTGTTTACTAAATTATGTTTCTAGGTTGACAATTTTATTCATAGCATTAGGTTCAATCAACTGTCTTTACAAAATCTAATCACTACTAACATGTATAATAATATTTTTATTTACTTCTTCTGATTTACTGGTTTATAAAATGTTGACTTTTCACTTTGTATGATGTCATAGAACACAAATCAATATATTTGGGTGCAATCCTCTTAAAGAACATTAAAAATGTATATAGATGTAGCCAAAAATGTGACTTCACCATACTATCATCTCAAAGCCCTTCAGTTCACAATGCGAAGATGGTTCTAATGCAATAATTTATAATCTCTGTCTTATTAGTGTATTAATTTCAAACCTAAAACTACAAGGCTGAATTAAAATTGGTAGTTACTAGGATACAATACTACTGATGAAGACAATATATTCCATGAAAAAAAATGTTACAGAATTGTTGTTATTTCTTATCTTGTCTGAGCATGGACAATAAAATTGTTGACTATGCATTTACTACACTAAAAGTCAGTCAACAGCCCAAAGTCCACCATCTGGTTGAAAAGGTCAAAGGTCCAGTAGTTGTCGTTGATCAGAAAAGTACCAAAGGGGGGTCAAACAATTTACAGTATTTCATGAAAGAGTGGTCCGAAATGAATAACTGTCATAGAGCGCAGCCACTTGCTACTGCAGGCATCCAGCTCTACCGTCTTGCCCTACCTCCGCCAGAACCACCGGTTCTTTGAGTACCAGTAATTGCAGGTCCTGTTTGACCAGCAGTTGGTTCTTCAGGCAAGTTGGCTAGTTGACTGAGAGCGTTCACTACAATTAATCCAAAAGGGACTATGTACATCCACTGCACACAAAACAAATCAAATTGTCAGCACAAAACAGACTCAAAAACGTCAGGAAACTGCAACTTTCAAATAACCAACCATATGAAACATGCCTGAAAGAAAGTCCTTTTGAAATCTACAGATCAATGCTCACAAATTACACGACGTAACAATACAAAGTTACGTCAGACGGTATACCAGACCCAACGTGCATCAGGTTTTGAAATGCAACGATAGCTATACATGAAATTATGAAACATTGAAAACACGGTCGGATTGAAAAATATAACCATTGATGTAAATTATCATGCACTGACAGTGCATCAGACGGAAAAACTTACATATTTCTGCCAAAAAGTCTTTTCCTTTGTCCCCTCCTCTTCAGTAACTTTTTCGCCTGGTCGCTGTGTGGCTGACTCTTGAAACATAGGCACTAGCCTGCGACCACCAGGACTCCCTTAAAAAGTTGCTAGTTGCGCTCAAAATCATGTAAATAGGCAATTTAACCATCTCTACGTTGCTGACGTGCCATGTAACATGCAGATAAACACATGAACCAAAGGAAAAGACAGAGTAAACATTAAGTACCTTGGAGCTTGCTCGCTGCCCTTGTGAAAAATCAGTGGATCAGAGGCAAAGGTCCAGTCCTCTGGCTGCCAAGACCCATAACTCTAGGTTAAATCAAGACTGCGGATAAATATATGAGAAAATTGCACCAAAATTTCCTCTTCAGTACTTAGCTAATCGAAGCGTATCACAGTAATAAACACCCTTCTACATATATGCAAGGAGCAATGAGACTGTTTCAAATCAAGTCACTTTTGGTAGGTTTGAACAATTCTCTACGTCACAAGGTGACGCTTCTGGGCACAGAAGCTTTCAAAGCACCCGACTAGCTCCACAGTGTGATACAAAAACCGTAAGTTTGTTGAAAAGTAAAAAAGATGTGATCCGTAGCTCAGAAGCAAAAATAAAGAGACTGCTATCAGCACAGAATGACTTACCAGGACCAGAGGACGTGGGTAACTACAAGCGCCAACAGCGGAGTAGCTAACACCTATCAAATTGCCTCTGTCCTGTACGCAAGGCGCACGACATACTGTAAAATAAACTACTTGGTAGCTTCGCTCACCTCAGAATGGTTCTAGAGAACCTGAGGATGAAAATACAGGTGCACCAAAAACTAATGAAAGGATAACTTCTAACAAGAATCAAAATAAAATAGTGCATGCTATCAGTGTGGAAAGAATGGTCAGAGGGTAGCATACCAAGAAAAAGTCAAATCGCTCCTTCAATTTTGCAGCAGTCAAACAACGCTGCAAGGAGCAAAAGCGAAAATATCAGATGCTCTAGACAAAACCACTTTTTTTTCTTTACCAAGTACCATAAGCTATTTCAAGGATAGAACTCACGACAAAAAGAACCGTAAATCAACATAGGCGAGAGAAGCGTCCACAAAGAAATGATAAAATCATTGCCCACAGAAATAATTGAAAAGAGATGGTAAATTTTACTCACACCCTTCACTGAGGCCAAGACAAACTTGTGCCGGGGTTTGATCAAATCTGCGGGCAGCCGGATAGTGTAGAACCCATCATTTCTCACCAGTTCCTAAAATATCAGGAACCACCCAGCCGCTATTATAACATAATCTTGATAATTAATATTTATTTGAGTTTGTAAGAGATTATCCATTCGCATTATTAAACGAAAATGTTTGATGTGGAATGGTAAATTACACAAATACACGAACTTCAGAGACAAAACAGTGTAGCATCAAAATCACCTCAAATTGCCGCTTCTGCACTTTCGATAATTTGTTCCTTTCGAGTCGTAGCTTTTTTATTTCCTGCAGAAACCAAGAATACAGCAACTTCAGAAATAACACAAACAATTATAGTCACTAATTTTGGTTTCCGGTGAAATTTGCGCCACAAAACGAGTTTCGTCATGCGCAAGACATAAATACTATGTGCCCATCCCCTGGTCTTCCAAACTAGAAGATTAAAGGAACAATAAACAACTTATTCAATCAAATTTTTAGACCAAATAAGACTTCACATTCCACTACTTATACCACTGTCCTGAAAGCCCCGCACAACCACAACATTTTAAAACCTAAATCTGCACTTGGCACCCAGCAATTTTCAGGGTTCTGAAAGTTGAATACGTAATGGCTAATCACAGACAACGATCCACCTGTTTTTTCAAGAGGTTATGCCCCAGAACACCTCCAGCGAATCGCACTGAGAATACATAACAAGAATATATATATATATATATATATATATATACACACACACACACAGAGAAACGTTGAGACAAATGAATGAAGGTGGAAGCGAAAAAATTGCTCGCACTGCACCTGATGCCCCAGAGCCGTCGTTCTCAAAAGTGCTGAAAAAGTTCCAATCTGTTCAAACTTGCCATCACCAAGCGAGTGTTCGAGCGGAAACGTGATCTTCTTTGTTCCAGCAGTCGCTGCCGATGGGCGGACGATCTTCTCGCCATACTCGGTATACTCCGGCTCAACCTTTTCAACGATGTTGATCTTGGGCTTGACGATGGGTGCCGATTCTCCCACCAACCCCCATTCCTCGGCGTCTTCGGGGAGCTCGTCGGACTGGAAACCCGTGACGCCGAAGGAAGAGCATGCGATCGCAGCCAGCAACAGCACGGACAGAAGAAGACGCTCCACAGCCATGGCAACAGCGATGGCGATGGCGATTCTACACAACACGCATTCACAATGGTATCCTTCGCATCGAAGCCAAGACGGTGCTGAGACCACAAAACCCTAGACCCGTCCTTGCCGAATTTCGTCCGTTCATTCGTCCGCTCGACAGTTCGTTCGTTCGTTCGTCCCCCAATCCAAACTGATATCTCAATACCCTCACATTTGTACCATGTTTGAAAATGAGTATTTATTGAAGTAATGTGAACTCCTTCCCCTCTTTAACCGAAAAACTACAGCATACATTCAAATGCAAAGAAATTTCAACATTCGAATAGTTTTACATGTTATAAAATTGGGCGTTGGGGAAAGCACTATGGGAACCAGTAGAAAGGGAAACCCTAGAAAGGTTTTGAGTTGAAAAGGTTGATCGTATTCTGTGTCCCAATAGCATCAAAACAATTAGTCATAATCAATATTAGATATTCGGTTAATTCATTGTATTCATTAAAAGAAATTGATAGGAAATATTAATATTATTTAGTGAGTGTAGCCACATTTAGATTATTTAGAAAGTAAATAATTGATAATTAATTAAGTGAGTAGGTAAAATTTGTTCGTGACAATCAACTTATCAGATTCATAGAAAGTTCTAGAATATTGATCAGAATAAATTTCCCAGCTTTTAATTAACATTTTTTTACAAAATAATAATAATAATGATTGAATTATTTGAAGGTGACCAATAAATATCTATTGATACTATATCAACATAAATGTAGCTATTTTTATTTATTTTTAAATAACAATGCAAAATATACATATGTACATGTATGTGTTATGTTTGTGTGGAATCATTCATTTTTTATTCTGTGAAGCTGTAACTACCACTTATAATGGACACAAGAATAAAAGAAAAGAACGAATATATATATATATATATATATATATATTATACACACACACACACATATATATATATATATATATACATACATACAGTAGAAAAGAATATGATTGTGCACTGGACACAGAATCACACACATGAAGTATGGGATTCAACATTTAGTTATCACTTCACACTGGTTCACAGAATTGAATTAAGTTTAACTCAGAAAATCTGTAAATCCAAAAATTTCAAATACCAATAAGAGCAATAGAACTTTTCATTTAAAAATCCTATTCATGCAGGAAATGTAGATGTTTAAACATGACAAAAAACAACACATAATTCTCAGAAAAAAATACAACATGAATCAATATACATTCCTTGAAATATTTTTCATCCATCTTCAATAGGTCTCATCCATAACGTTGTACACAAATACGAGGAAATACCAAAGCCTTTCCCATCCCAAATGAATTATTTGCCACCACATCCATTATTTGTAATCAATATATCCCATACCCAATTTCAAGATTCTACAATACATTCCCACACAAGCTTTCCATTTGTCTTTGGTTTCATTTGATAGGGATTTGGACAAGGAGCCTTTCCATACAACCGGTGACGTGATAAAGGAAAATAGAAGTGATGAAAAAAGGGCTTGTTCTTCTGTACGCCGAAACCCACTGCAAGACCGTGTGGTCTTATTCCGTGGGCCCCATTCCCGAGGCCACCTGTAGCTTGATTGGCAGGGATGCAACTTGATAGGGCAAAAGTGCTCATTATTTTGCCCCACAAAGCCACTATCACAGCCTCTTTTGAAAGTGTTTTTAGAACAAACATTCGTTTGAATCTAATGTACAGGGTTGACTGTATACATCGCCGACTGCATCTTCAAGCACATTGCTACCCTCCATTTCTATTGGCAGAATGTTATTGCCAACAAAATTGAGTATAAATTACACATGTGATTAGGGTGGGCTTAACCAGGTTCTTGGTTTGTCAATCATGGTTGGAAGGAAACCTTATAAAATCCACAAACATACCAGCTTGATAGAATATATATATATATATATATATACACATATATGGAAATGTTAAATAGATCCACATTTTACTAAATAGACCTACTCTTGATGAAGAATATGGTAATCATGATTAATATGGTTGATTTTTCTCAGTTGTAGATCTAATGATAGATAAATTAATCCAATAATCATTGTTTTTTCATGATGGTTGGGATGGGTAGGTTGATTTACTAAAAACTTGGGTCTATTTATCATTCCTATGAATATAAAATAGTATTTATATTTCTCTTTAGGTGATAATTTTTATATGAAAATTAAAAATATAAATTAAATTTTCTTGAAACATGGTTCCTAAGGAAATGGTTTTAATAAAATAATAGAAATTCAAGTCTTCATAATTGGCATGGTTTCGCACTAACAAAAACAATGATATGCATACCATAGTTCTTAGTATTGGCAATACAACTTGCCACCTATTCAACATGTTTATTTAATTATTATAATTTTTTTATAATCAAATATTTTTTTAACTAATTTACACAATGCGAGCACTATTCACTTTTTTTTATTAAAAAAATAATAAAAAAACTAAATTAATATGTCAAGTGGATGGATATAGAAAAAATTGTCGAGGCACTAGTAATATATATATATATATATATATATATAATTTAAATTAATAAAAATAAGTATGTATGATACCAAAAACTAAGTTTGCTTTTGAAAAGAAAAAAATTGACAATGAATATATAAGTGTACCTATATATACATAAATGCATACATATATTCATGAGTATTACTTCAGTAATAAAAACATATATTTATTTATTATGAATAATAAATATATATTTTCCACATCAAGAATTCAAGCTTCCAAATCTTAAAGAAATACCATGAGTATAAGGATTAAATACTTTATTACTATTTTTAAGTATTGAATTATTTTCTAATTTAATTATTAAACCAATATATTTTATTTTAAATACATAAATACTATAATATTATAATTATTTTTAAGTTATTTTTTTTAAAATAAATAAAATCCATTAATTAATTAATATTGTGTGAATGTGTCACGGACACAGAAATATAGACTCGAGATCTAACAAGAAGTTCAAGAAGAACTAGCAAGAACTAGATTAATCAGATGAATACAAGAACAACAATAGAGAGGTGAGCTAGAGCTCCAAGAGATGTGTTGTCGAGACTGAAGAACTTTTCAGCCTCGATTCCAATATATACTCCTATTTAGGAAGCTTCTCAAGCAACTTCTACCAACTAAGAAGCTTTTAGAAGGTTCTAGAGACTTGCTTCTAGAAGATTCAAGAAACTTGTCTCTAGAAGGTTCTAAGGACTATGTCCCTAACATCTTCTACCAACTAAGAAGCTTCTAGAAGGTTCTAGAGATTTGTTTCTAGAAGGTTCTAGAAACTTGTGTCTAGAAGGTTTTAAGGACTATGTCTCTAATATTACCCCCTCCTTTAGCTTCGAGGTCTCTGAGAAGCAATGTTCTTGTTAATCAGTACCAAAGCATGAAAATGAAGATCTGTCGCATAACATCTGTTATGAACTCCAACTATTGTTCACGAGGCAAGTGGTTCATCAGTCCTTGAAGCCAACGGTAGTGGCCCACTCCTTCAACTTCTGACCAAGCATGAACTTCCATGTCCTCATTGTCAAATTGTCTTGCAAATACGCCTTCTAGCTGACCATCGTAAGCAAGCTCAAACTCAAATACAATCACTAGTGATAGGTTACTCGGTATCCTCCGTCGTCGTGGTAGTGTAGGTGGTTCTTCATATCGGGGTCGCCTTCGTGAGCTAGTCGGTTGAGATAATCTGACTCGCATAATATCTATCTCTTGGCTATCCATATGAGAAGACCAAACTATGGCTACTGAAAAAATTCTACTTTATCTTGGAAAAAATAACTATATCAACTACAAAATTTTGATAGTGCTCTCTCCCTTTCTTATATTCTTGGGTGAGCAAGCTTTAGAAGGAAGCTATCGTCAAACCAGCTTAGGTTTATGAGGATGTTGTTGATGAAACTCCTGTACCTTTTGCGGCGCATTGGCAAGATTTTTAGCTGGCTCCCACGTTCGCTCATTAATGTCGTAGCCGCATCAATGAAGAAGATACTCCAACTTGCCCCATCTTCGCTGTGAATCCAGCACCTTTTTAACCTCGTATTCCTCGTGGTTCTCAATCTCAATACTAGGTGGCGGACATTGCACTCTTCCAAGAAAAGACGACTCTCGATAAGGCTCCAACAGAGAAACATGAAAGACTGGATGTACCTTCATAGAAGCTGGTAATTCTAGTCGGTATGCCACTGGATTGATTTGCTTCTGGATGATAAATGGTCCCAATCTTCAATAGTCCAACTTATCACATGGTCGCTTGGTCTTGATATTCCGTCGAAGAAGCCATGCTTTATCTCCAATTTTGAAAGTAGGTGCTTAATTCCGAAATCTATATGCAGACGCCTTGTAGGATTCTTGAGCGGATTGTAATTGAAGCTTCAACGTATTTTGAAGCTCTGATAGTTGTTTCGCAAATCCTTCAACTGTTGGATTGTTATTTGTTGACAAACTCAATAAATCAAGCTTCAGATGATACCCATAGTTGGAAAAGAATGGTGTGTATTGAGTTGATGCATGGAGGATGTTGGTATATGCGAACTTGGCTAGCGGCAGATATGGGGTCCAATTGTCTTACTAATAGTTGATGCTGCATCGTAAATATTGTTCCAAGACTTGGTTCACCCGTTCCGTTTGGCCGTCAATTTGAGGATGAAAAGCCGAAGAAAGCTTAATATCCACATTCAGTATCTCAAAGAGAGATCTCCAAAACTTTGATACGAACTGGGTTCCTCGATCTGATATGATATCATCTGGTAGTCCATGATATCGATACACAGTATCGCGAAAGAGCCTTGCTGTGACTTCACTGGACGATGTCTTCTTGCAAGGGACAAAGTGTGCCATTTTTGTAATCCGATCTACCATGACAAAGATGCTGTCGAATGAGTTCGATGATGGCAGGTCCATGATGAAGTCCATGGAAATTGAAGACCATGGTCGACGTGGAATCGGCAATGGCAGTAGGAGTCTCTAAGGGCGATGTCGAGGATTCTTGGATCTTGAACAGATGTCGCAGGAGAGGACAAAATCTTTCACATCCTTC